GGAGGTCAGTGGCTGAGTATCATTTGGTCATGCTGTGTTAACTCCAGTGTCTCTCATAGCAGTCTGGTAAGTACTAAGTACTCAGTATTTATTGAATGAAAATGCTGCTGTTAGAACTTCTCCTAATTAGAGATTTGTTAAAGTGGGAGGTAATGTATGTATAGTGTGGAGGTGAAGGAGAAGAAGAAGGTAGATCAACTTGTGACTTATCGCAAAGTAACTTTTAAGTCAGTCCCTATCCTCTAGAGGCTTTGTGTCACCTTGTGTGCAATAATAGGGAAGATTGGGCCAAGCACTCCTTTAATACCCTATGTTTTGATTCCCTTTAATAATGATGCCAGATATGTAAGCTCATGTGAATGGGTTATGTGACAGCTGACTCCCTCAAAGAAGATTTGAGATATTCCAAATAAACATATCAGAAATGCATATGAACTACACAATAGTATCATTATTCAGAGCTTCTTTAATAGCTGTTAGAAAAATAATCAATATATAATTTATAAATTAAGAGATACTATTTCAGTGTTCTAATTGAAGCATAAAGACAGAAAATTAAAACATACCAAGTTCCATGTGAGTTGAAGTTATTAGATTTCTTTTGATATTTGCTCTTAATACTTTGTACCCTATCTCTTATTGCATCTTGCATAGTAAATCAAGACCCTACATATTGTACAAAAGTGTCCATATACAAACAAGGAAAGGGGAGACAAATGGCTAAGTGAGCAGAAATGAGTATTACCATCCCTTAGTTTCTTTTGTTTGTGTTTATTTTGAAACTCTAAAAAATTATTTTTACACAAAGTTGTAACATATTCAAGGGGTCTTCAAAAAGTTCATGTAAAATATGTAATGAAAAATTGAATCTCAATTTTTTTGGGGGGTACCCAAATAAACATGTACCTTAATTCCATTTTTCTGTGAACCTTTTGAAGTCCCCTCACATAGTTTATTATGAAATGTTGTTAGTTTTGATAAATGAGTCATATTATAGATAGTTATTATTTGTCAAATGTGATAAAAGAGAAATTTAATAGGAAAATGATCAAAATAAATTATTTAACAGCAGAATCATTATTTTGAAGTAGCTAACTTGAATACTGTTTTGTTCATAGATATTTTACAACTTTATAGTGATCATTTTTAAGGGTGTTGCTTTTTTTTTTTTTTCATTCTGATATGATAACACATTTATGTGCTTGAGAAGGAGGTAGAAAGAGAAGTAGCCTTGAGAAGGTCTTGTCACGCTGCTGTCCCCTTCCTCCAGCCCTCCAGCTCATCAAGACCTTGGGCATACATACTCTCACCTTGCGTATTTCAGGTCAGCTGGGCTGGGGATACAAACCCATGGTCAGCCATGTGGCTTCCAGCACCACAGTGCAGTAAGTACCAGATGTGCCACAAGGCTGGTCATGTTCACTTTTTCAAAGCTACTCAAGTCGAATATGTTATGGAGCACACTATCTCATGAGGCAACCTGTTCCGTTGTAGGTTGTTGGATGTAGAAAGAACATGGGCTTTAGAATCAGGGAAATTTAGTTTGAATCTCAGTTCTATCAGCTACTAGCTGTGTTGATATGGGCAAGCAACAATTCTGAAATTCTGATTCCTTTTCTGTAAAGTGGAGTTAAACAAATCTAGGCTTGTTGAAAGGATTTAATGAAGGTATCATATCTCAATTGCTATGTTTAGCATGAAATAGAGGCTTAGTTTTTAACTCCTTCATCTATTAATAATTAGATGAAAATTGCTAAACTTTGAGCACTTACTGTAAGCTAAGTACTTCACATGCAGCAGCTGAATCCTTAAAATCTATGACATAAGTCAGTAGTACCTTTGTTTGTCTTCTGCGCTCTGCAGTGATACTGAGTCCAGTCCTATTACTACATCTTCAAATATTTAGAGACCACTTACCCTGTTTGGTTTTGTTAAGCATGTATTTGTCTCATGACTTTCTTTTCACCTTGCTCGAATCCATGCCTTTTTTTTTTTTTTAAATCAATCAATACAGCTCTAGATATCTGGATCATATAAACAAACATAATGGTGGGCTGACCTGCAGTGAGTATACAGATTGAGGCTGGTGCATGCTCATTGTCCTGGGGGTGTAGGTTTGAGGGAGGTGTTTTAGTCCTCCATTATATTAGTAGCTCTTTATTGGCTCATCGGGAAAGTCATAACACTTCTGCATAGAAAAACATAGAAAAATACATCATGACTGTTCTGACAGCCCAGTAAGATCTTGGGTAGGGAACCCCTTCTCTTGAACAGCTTCCAAGTCAGGATTTTTCCATTCTGTATTGCACATTTGGTTTTTCAAAACCAAATTCAAAGCTTTACATTTTTTAGACTTCACTTTAATTTTAGTTTACTTACCCCAGGTATGTTCAGCCTAAGGATTTTATGTCTTCTCTGTCTTTGCTATCTCATAAATAATGGAAAATAATATAGAGCTATGGACAAGAGTTCAAAGACACTCATTTAAATAGAGCAGCAAACTTACCTACTGCAGTGACATCTAAGTTATACTCCATCCAGATACTTGCACAAATAGTATGGAAAACCATCTTGAAATTTATGTTGGAATATACTATTTTTTTTCCCTAGCTTTGTTAATTGTGTGATCTCAGGCAAGAACTTTAATCTCAAACCTGTGTTTTCTTAACAAGGAAACGGGTGGTGAGGATTCAGTGAGGTACTACATATGAAGTGCTCAGAACAGTGTTTAGAACAGTACGGCACATAAGCACTCAATAATAAACTATTATTATTATTACTTCTTCTATTTAAGAGGTCTCATTATTTTCCAGACTGTAAATATGATTGACAGTTAGTGATCTTTCTTCACTATTCACAAACTATTAGCTTCAAACTCCTTTCTCAGCTTTGGCTAAGGGTTGTATCAAGTTTATATATCTGTAATTTCTTAAATTTGCTTCCCTGCTTCTCCAGCTCCAAGGACTTGAAGCAGTTTGGTCTCCATCTGCAGGCCATGATTATTTCTCTCTGTGCTCTTTCTCCAAGATGTAGGAGTCAGCTTTGTGATTGCAGTTGCTGATTGCTTTAGCAGTGTGGAATTGATCGCATCTAGGTCCAGAGACTCGGGCTCACAGGGAAGTTGTTTTAGTCTTATTCATTAGGCTCAGGTTTCAGTTCTCAATACTTTTCTCCAGTTTTAAACTGTTGAAAGGAGATACCCAAAATACAAGTTAAACAATTCTGTCTCCCTGTGTGATCTCTCAACCTTAGTAATATCCTCTCTGAGCAGTGATTCTCTCAGTTCCTGTTCTCTTAGCGTATTATTGTGGAGACAGTGCAAGGGAAGACAATGTGAAAACCATGTTCTGTCCACTTCTTTTTCTTTTCTTTCTTTTTTTTTTTTTTTTTTTTTTTTTTTTTTTTTTTTTTTGAGAGGTTTTTGCTATAGGGAACATATGCTCGCTGGAAAGACAGAGACAGAGAGACGGAAAGTGAGAAATCACCCACCCAGGGGGGATGACCATGCCGCAATCCCTTCTCCATTCTCTTCTGAGGATCTTGGGCACGCATACACATGTGCCCGGCATGACTTTAAGCCACTGGGCCCAGGACTTGAACCGCAGTCAACTACATAGGAGTCCAGCGACATAGCCATTATGCTAACTGCTGGTCCCTCTGTCCACTTCTTAATAGCCATGTGATGCCAGGCAAGTTGCTTTATCACTTTATGCTTCAGTTTTCTCATCTGCAAAGTTGGTGTTTGCCTTGCCAATTCTCAAAAGGTATCATGAGATAAAGTAAGTGAGATATTCATAAACTATCTAGCGCTGTGCAGTGTAAGGTGGAGTAGTCATCATTTATTTGAATGTAGCTATAAAAGCTTTTTTCTTTAAATGTGTTTCTTCTATGTTGATTTTTCTGAACCTTCTCTTTTTAATACTGGGTCTTTATATTTTTTCTCTTCTGTCATGTTCATCCTGATTTAACCTCATTAACTGCTCCACAGAAAGTCTCTGCAGCCACACTGAATGGTTCACTCTTCCTCCTCGTAAGCTTGTTTCTGTGTAGAGAGGTGGAATTCAGAAGGACATAACTCTTAAGTGGTTCGCTTAGCCACATGAGATCACATCTTTTTATTTTTTTTTAATATATGTACTTTTAAAACTGGAGTCCTAAAAACTATGATTCATATTTTACTGTTAGAAATCTCTTGTAATGAGATATCTTTCTTTTAATTTCCTGTGATATGTCAGCTCTCATTCTTCCTGCTGGGTCATGTAACTGAGTCCAGGATATTCCCCCTGCTTCTTTTGCCTTTTGAAAAGAATTTGTTGGTCAAGGAATCCAGGAGTCATATTTTGACAGAATTAGGTTTTTAATAAGAAAAAAGAATATTCTTTATTTTAGTAGGGTACTACACATGTTTTGTATGGCAAGGCAGTATGTACTTTATGTCTTTAATGCTGTCAATTTTGCTGTTCCCTTTTGTCCCTTCTGTTTTTCTGTGTCTCAGTTGTAACTTGGTTGTGTAATCGTGTAATAGAAGTGTTTCTTTTTAATGAATTAAAAATAAAACAGGTTTTTGAAGAAATGTTTGTTCTTCAAGTTTCAAGTACTATGGAGGAATGTTATAAATATTCTTTTGTGCAAGAGGCACTCCCTGAAATTATCCCTGTAGTAGACAATGGCTTTTGGGCTAGCCCATGGCCTAATGGTTAAGGAAGCTGAATCCCAATGTCAGACCACGCAGTTTGCATCCTGGACCCAGTTGCTTGAAAAACATGCCAAGCGCATGTGCATGTATGCCTAAAATTCTGAAAGGATAGAAAAATGGAGGGGAAGGGATTGTGGCATGTCCACACCCCATGGGGTATGCTTTCTCTGTCTCTCTCTGACGGGTACATATACACTCTAACACAAAATTGAAATTTTAAAAAATGTGATAACTAGACCAGAAAAATGGCTATCCATTAGAAGTGAATATAAAACATTAAACACCTTTAATTTTTTTTTTCCAGGCTGACTACATTTGAGAAAGCATCCAACTTTTCTTAATGAGCCCATTCATCAAATGAAATATATCTGTACTATTTTAAAAGTTTCATTCTTCATCATAGAAAACTTCACTCCTCCTGCCAGATGAAAATGATGACATTTGAGAAGGTTATTGAACTTGTGGACATTTAAGAAGGTATCCCATCAAACCAGTGAACCAAAGAATAAGTATTAAATAGATTCATCCAAAACATTATTTTTTTAAGCCAGGGAATTTTATTTTGGAAAAGAAGAATCTTTATTCAATATGTATTTTTTGAAATTAAAAGAGAGAGACAAGAACAAACTTAAAATAGATAAAGATGTTTAATAAATAAACAGTGTTAACTCTATTCCGATGAGGATAATTTGGTGATGTTAAGTTCTTTACAAATCCCTGACTGTGGTCCTAAGGACAAGATTCTTTTTGGATGGGACTGATAGAAGTAGAACTTTTTATGCGTTAACGCACAGTGATAGGTCATGTCATTATCAGCATGAGTGGCTTAAAAGAGGAAATGAAGCTTTCAACTAAATCCAGAAGTGCAGTCATTTAACTGTTACTTTAAAAACCTCTTCATAATCATTTAAGAAGAATTGACAAGTTTTTTTAAAAAAGATTAAAGAAAGGCAGATGTCTGCAAATAATTCCCCTCCATCAGCCCAGAAGTCTGTAGTGCCTGCAACTCTTCCTGCTGTGCTTCCAACTCCTTCTCCGTGTTCAAGTCCTAAGACGGGACTCTCTACCCGGCTCTCCAATGGAAGCTTCAGTGCAGCATCGCTCACCAACTCCAGAGGCTCAGTGCATACAGTTTCATTTCTCCTGCAGATCGGCCTCACTCGTGAGAGTGTCACCATTGAAGCCCAGGAACTGTCTTTATCTGCTGTGAAGGATCTTGTTTGCTCCATTGTTTATCAAAAGGTACTGTGCATGCTATTTATTCTAGTAGTTTCTCTTTTTAATTTTGTTTCTAATACTTCTTTATAAATGATACATACATAATGAATTAGCACATGTGGATCCATCAGTAATTTATGTCCTGGTTCTGAACATTTTCTGAGGGATCATAAGAGCCGAAAGCCTGAGGTTTCAGAGTCTACCAGTTAGAATTTATAGCCAAGATTTAAAATAACACTATATTTGCTTTAAAATACTGCTATTCTGTTTATCTCTTAAGAGCAGAAAAATCTGCATAAAATCAAGGGCATATAAATCTCCTTTATTTTTAGAGAAATCAGGAAATCTAGGGAGAAAAGCACTGAGATGGCTTGCAAGAAAGATGGGACACAGTAACAATTGAGTCCCAGGTTCACACCTTGGTTGTTTGTTTGTTTGTTTGCTTTAAGGGAGATTTTTGCTGTAGGGTATGTGCACTCACCAGAGAGACAGAAAGAGACAGAGAGACAGAAATGAGAAATCACCACATTGTAGTTCCTTTTCTTCCATTCTCCTCTTGGAATTTTGGTCACACCACACGTGTGCCTAGCATGAGTTTTAAGCCACCGGGTCCAGGAATGAACTGCAGTTGACCACATAAGAGTCCAGCGATGCAACCATTGTGCCTTCTGCTGGTCCTACACACCTTATTCTTTTTAGGTGCCTGTGTTCTACCCTCTCTTTTATACCCATTTTCTTCCCTTTAGATCCTAATTATGTTTTAAAAGAGGATATTCAGAAACTATTGGGTCATCAGGAGAGTCAGAATGCATTTTTTTGCGTAGAAAAACATGCCATGACTTCTCTGATGACCTAATCCTGTCATTTTATATAGGACCACTTAAAAAATAGATAAATCAAACTGGCCTTATTGCCTGTCGTTAAGGGAGCCAGATTCTACATGGCCAACTGTGTGGTTCAAGTTGTGGCCCTGGCAACTTAAGAAACATACTAGGTGCACATGTGTATGCATGCTCAAAATCCTGACACGATGGAAAAATGGAAAAGGGATCGTGAAGTGACCATACCCCACTGGGAGTGCTTTCTCCCTCTCTCCCCTTCTTCCCCTCTGGTGCCTTCATGGCTTTTGGCATTTACAAAAAATATTTATGTAAATCTGTATATTTAGGGAAATCAAAATATATGAAAATTGAAAAATTCAGGATCATATTATTTTGTTTCCCATGCATCCACCTCCTGTCCTGTACCATGCTTTTTTTTTTTTTATTATTCATGATAGAGTGCATGCACCTGAGAGTGAAAGAGAGGAGCATCCTCCACAGGGTTTGATTGTGCCATGATCCCCTTTTCCAGACTCGGATCTTGGGCACTTGTGCCTGTGCGCAGCATGTTTTAGGTTGACTAGGCCAGGGATTTAAACTGTGGTTGCCATGTGCGATCTGGTTTCTCTTGCACATTATTGCTATACCGCGAAGTTAGCTCCCATGCCAGTTTTTAAGAAACTTTAATTAGTAATAATCTTAATTAAATCTTAATTAAACTTATGAACTAGTATTTTTTTTTTATCTTGAAGTATTTACATGGGTTGTATGAGTGGTTATAATTTATTTCGAATGGACCAAACATTTGTTTGAAACAAACTTCTGTACCTTCTGTTTTAAACATCGTATCTCAGTGAAACCAATATATTTTAATTTAGGCTGTTCATCTCACTGTTTACATTTCTGTTCCTTAGGCATTATATGGGTTGTCATTATCTTCTGATATAGAAGTAGTTAACAAGCCAAACATGTTTTACAATTTGTGGAAATGACCTATGTCTCTTTTGTTTTAACAGTACTTATTTATGTAGATGTGTTCTAAAGTAAGAATAACTTACTTCTGTTGATCTGTAGAACCATGAATGTATTTGAGATCATAGAAATTCATAACCAGTATTTTGATGAGTCTCTCTCATTCAGTGTTCAATATTAGGAAATTTCATTTGCTTAAAAACTTTTTTTCATCAACAAAAATATTATAAAATTTTATTTTATATATACAGCATGTTATTTGGAAATATATGTGCATTGTTTAATGGGCAATTGAGCTAATTAACTCTAATTTACTTCTTATTAAAGTCATATATTGCTTAATGATGAGGATATGCCCTAAAAATATGTCATTAGATGATTTTGTCATTATTGTGAACATATACAAAACTAGATGGTATAGCTTACTCCTAGGCTAGCTAGTATACCTTATTACATGTTTCTACTTCTCTTGAATAATACTTAAGAATATGATGACTGGGTCATGTCATAGATACACATTTATTAGAAATTACTGAACTGTTTTACAAAGTACACCTATTCCTATCAGCTCCACATCCATAGCAATACTTGGTATTATCAATCTTTTGCATTTAGCTGTTCTATTTGGTATGTAATAATGGTCTTCTGATTTTAATTTGCATTTCTCTAGTGATGAATCATACTGATCATCCTTTCATAGGACTTATTACTGTTCATGTATGAGTGTGTATGTGTATGTATATGTGCATATATATATATATATATAGATAACCCTCCCAGGGAGGATGGCCATGTTGCAGTCCCTTTTTCATTCTCCTCTTGGTATTTTGGGCATACACACACACACCATGTTTTTTAAGCTGCTAAATCCTGCACTCAAACCACACAGTTGACCATGTGAGATCCAGCTGCCTAAACCACTATACCACTGGCTGGCCCTCTTTTTATTTTCTTTTTTATTTTTTTTACCTTTATTTATTTGTTCCAAGAGAGAAGGACAGAGACAGCTACCCCTAAATGGGCTATAGCATCATAATCCACTCTGCAGTCTCAGTTGGCCTGGATCACAGGCACAACGGATGTCTGACATGCTCAGGGAAGTCCTGGGACATGAACCCAGGATCTTTTTCATGTGGTTCCAGTTATGTTAACACTGTGCCACCACCTGGATCCTCTTTTTAGTTTGTTTGTTTGTTTGTTTGTTTGTTTGTTTGTTTTAGAGAGAGTTTTTTGCTATAAAGTGTGTGCACTTCCCAGAGAGACAGAGACAAAGAGAGAGACAGCAATAAATCACCCCTCCAGAGAGGATGGCCATGCCACAATACCTTCTCCTCTATTTCCCTCTCAGGATTTTGGGCACACACGCACATGCACCGTGTGAGAGTTTTAAGCTGTCAGGTCCGGGACTCAACTGCAGTCAGTCATGTGGGAGTCCAGTGCTGTAACCACTACACCACTTGCTGGCCTCATCATTTTCTTAGCAGTATCTTTTAGAGAGTCAAAATTATTCATCGTGATGAAATCTAATATTTTTAAATAGGTAGCACTTTCGTGTTATATCTGAAAAATATTGCCTAAATGAATTAACAAAGATTTTGTACTGTGATTTCTTTTGGTCATTTAAAGTTTTAGCTTTTACTCTCACCTCTGTGATCCATGTATTAGTTTCTTAGTTTGACATTTAAAAAGTACCACATGGTATTCCTCAAACAACAAATATATTTTCTCACAGTTCTGAAGTCCAGAAATCCAGCATCGGTGTATCAGCAGAGTTGTTTTCTTTAGAGGGCTATGAGGAAGAATATATTCCCTGTGTCTCTCCTAGCTTCTGGTGGCTTCAGGCTTTTCTTGACTTTTAGATGGTTTTGCTTGTGTTTTCACATTGCCTTCTGTTCAAGTCATTTCAGTTGTTGATAACAAAAAATACCTGAGTCTGAGTAATTTAAGAGAATGGAGATTTATTTGGCTCACTCCAAAGGTCCAGGGTCCAGGGGCCACCTGTGATAGGGGTTTTCTATCTCTGTCACAACATGACAGAGCAGGAGAGCGTGGCCTGTGTTCCCTGTGTGTCTAAAGTTTATTAACACGTCAGGAAGTGATCATAGAGTCCCCACCTTGATCACCTCAATCCTAATCTCCTCACAGCCCTATCCTCAGACACCATAGCTAGATTTAGTTTCATCCTTTACAATTGTTCAACACATAAATTGTGGGGAGAATAGTCAAACTATAGCATCTTCCTTTTGTGTGTTTGTGTCTGTGTCCAAATATCCCTTATTTATTCACTTATTTATTTATTTATTTGTTATATTTCAAGTTCTTTTATACAATCACATTATTTAGCTTGCAAAGTGAATATTCCAACATGTGTGCATTTCTCCCCAGTCCAGTTGATAATACTACAAAGTTATCTTCAACAGATAATACCCCATTTCTTTGTCCCATTAATGCTATGCCTGTCTATCAGGACATAGTTACATTGGGTTAAAACTCACCTTAATGCCCTTTTGTCCGGAACTGCCATCTTCCAGTAATTCACCAAAATGATGAACACAAAGGGGAAGAGAGGCACCTGATATATATTCTCTAGGCCTTTTAGAAAACATGAAGTGGTTCCTTTAGCAACATACTTGTGAATCTACAAGACAGTTGATATTGTAGGCATCAAGGGAATGGGTACTGTTCCAAAAGGAATGCCCCACAAATGTTACCATGGCAAAACTGGAAAAGTCTACAGTGCTACCCAGCATGCTGTTGGCATTGTTGGAAACAAACAAATTAAGGACAAGATTGTTGCCAAAAGAATTAATGTGTGTATTGAGCATATTAAGCATTCTAAGAGTAGAGATATAGCTTCCTAAAATGTGTGAAAAACAATGACCAGAAAAAGAAGGAAGCCAAAGAGAAAGGTACCTGGGTTCAACTGAAGCACCAGTCTGCTCCACTCAGAGAAGCACACTTTGTGAGAACCAGGGAAAAGGAGCTTGAGCTTCTGGAACCTATTCCTATGAATTCGTGTCATGACAGGTGTCAAAAAAACTGGTCTATTAAAAATAAAAAAACTCACTCTAATGACTTCATCCTAACTTTATCATCAGCAGAGAAACTTCTCTAAAGGTCACATTTCCAGGTACTGGGATTAGGGCTTCAACCTTTTCTAGGGGAACATAAGTCAGCTCTACAATCTGTTTCAGATTAATTTTTATATATGATGTGAGGTGAAGGCCAAGG